TTTTTTTTTGTGGTACTGGGGATTGAACTTAGGACCCTACACTTGCTAGGCAAGCACTTATTCTACTGAGCTATCTCCCCGGCCCCCAACTATCTCCCCGCCCCACCCCTCAAAATTTTGAAAAAAGGTTGAGGATGTAGTTCAGTGGTAGAGTGCTCCTGGGTTTCAAGATACCTAAGCCTTCTGGCTTGGTGGGAAGTTCAAACGATATAATGCATATGAACACTTACTGGGGTGTATGCATGGCACTTAACTGGCGCTCGGGCAAGGCAAGGACTTCTTCCTTTGTTTGGTGAAACCCATCTCCATCTAACTCATTTCCTCCAATATTCCAGAGAAGAAAGAAACTGGAGTGTACCCATTTTCTGGATAGAGAAACTCAGATGCTGTAAGCATAATTTTAGGATAGGAGGCTTTTCCACTGCTGAGAGAGATACTTAGACAAAATTGGGTATGCTCAAGGGCAGCAGGGCCATAGGAGAGATTCAGAATGTCTTTGAGAAACAGACTGCAAATGCCCCTGTGAACAGACTGCAAGTTAGCAAGACAATGAGTCAGTGAGAGATACAGGCTCCTTTCAGCTCTGATTCCTCAGTTGTCTCTGGTGTAGTAATTGGAACTGTTCACTTATCTGCCCACAGGTGGGGTCTGACTAACTGCTTTATCTCCAGGACTGAAATCACTGCATGCTGCATAATAAACCTTCAATAAGTACTTAGCCACTAAGGAGTCAGTGGATGATTGACCTGGGGAGAGAGCTTCAGCCTCTGCGGAGGATCAGTGTGAGAGGCTGTGAGTGTGGGAGGAGGAGGTATATCTGGGGCCTTGGGCTTGTCTGAGGGACATGGGGATCTTGAATAAGAGGCTGCTGCATTGAAGTCTCTAATTTGCCCAGGGGGCGGGGGGGTGGTGGCCGGCAGGTTAGCTCAGTTGTTTAAGCGCCTGCTCATGCAAATGCAGTCAGGCACAGGATACATCAGTTCGAACCCCATCTCCACCTGCCTTACCAGCTCCGCCCTTAAGGCAGGCTGAGCCAGCCAAAGGGAGGAAAAAAATCCTTCTAGTTTGCCTGGGAAATGCTGTACAATGTAAATGAAAACCATGGTGTGGGGGTCAGCTCCTGCCAGCAGCTCTCCTGGGCAATCCCAGTTGGCAAGGGGAGCACAGGCTCTCTAGCAGTCCTGGAGAGGATACCTCTGGACCGCAGGTCCTCAGGCCTGGAGGTGCCTTTTTCCTGGGAGCTCCAGCAAGACAAGCACAGTGGAGGAGGGGATCCAGATCAGCTGTTTTTTAAAAGATAACCAGTGATTTTCTGTTTTATCTATGGAAGGAGGCCATTCTTTTGTTTAAGAAGCAAAAGAAATTAAAGGCTTTAATGGGCTTTTTAGGTATGCAAAGGAATGCCACTACCTGTTGGGAATGAAGGGAGAAAGATTTCTCTGTATAACAAAGGGGAAGGAGCCCTGGGTCAGCTCTCCAGAACCAAAACAAGGCAGAAGCAGTTGCCACTTAGGCCAGGTCCACTTCCTCAGAGCAGTGAGCAGGGACTGGGTCTGAGATCTGCACTTCTATTTCCTTTCTTCCCTAGGAGCCATAGGAGCTGCAGGGTGATTTTAGCTGAGGGCTGAAGAGCAGAAGCCAGCCCCCTAGTTCTGCCCTGGCCTACAGGCTAAAGACAGAAGACCCAGAGGTGCATCAGACCTGAGCCAAGGTGAAATGGAGCTATGCGCCAGGCTCCAGAGATGCAAGTGTGAGGCCTGCAGTTCCTGCTTTCAGGGGGCTTCACATTTCCCAACTGTTTACTGTTCAGTTACAGCAAGTACGTCGAAAAAATAACGGGTCATAGTGGTACCTCAGTTCTGGAGCGTAATTCATTCCACTATTCTGATCACAAACTGAATTGGATGAAGAGTCGGGTGTGGTGGTGCACATGTGCAAGCCCAGCCCTCAGAGGCTGAAGCAGGAGGATCATTGCAAGTTGACGACCAGCCTGGGCTACAAAGTGAGCTCCAGGCCAGCCTGAACAGCATAGTGAGACCTTCTCTCAAAAAGACAAAAAAGGGGGCTGGCAAGCACAAAGGCCTGAGTTCAATCCCCCATTCTGCAAAAAAAAAAAAAAAAGAAAAAGAATTGAATGAGAACCCAGTTAAATGTCCCCATAAAGTCAATGTTGAACCTAACCATTGAATTTGATTCAGTTTTATCCAGTTGGCTTTGCGACCAGAATCATGGAAAAAAATAAGTTCATGAACTGAAGCACCACTGCACTCACACAATAACATGTGAGCCCTACTTTTTGCAACAACTCCTTGAGAACAATACTGGTGAAAAAATGAAGACAAATGGAGTAACCCCCCCCCCCCCCGCCAAGGCCTTAGGGTTGGTGCTGAGGGCTCGAGTCCAAGCAGCCCAACACAGCAGTGCACACAAGGAACCACTTCACTCTGCTTCTTCTTCTTCTTTTTTTTTTTTTTTTTTGCGGAACCAGGGATTGAACTCAGACCCTTGCACTTGCCAGGGAAGTGCTTATTCCACTGAGCCATCTCCCTGGCCCTAACAAAATCTTGGGTGTTTTTTTGTTGTTGTTGTTTTTTTCTGCAGAACTGGGGATTGAACTCAGAACCTTGCACTTGCCAGAGAAGTGTTAATTCCACTGAGCCATCTCCCTGGCCCCACTCTGCTTCTTTATCCTCACAAGGCATCAAAGGGGAACACCAGAGTGTTTCCCAGAGGAAGTGGGCTGAGACTGATACAGGGAAAAATGATCTCCCGACCTGACCTGGACAAGTTCATGTTCTCTAAAACCGAAGAATGAATTTTAGGAACCAATGGAGGTTTTTTTTTTTTTTTTAATATTTATATTTATTTATGTGTGTGTGTGTGGCCAGCTCAGCACACCAGGGGGCAGGGCTGGCTGGCATGTGGTGCTGGGGGATTGAACCGCGGTCCCTGTGCTTTGCTAAGCTTGTTCTAAGTAGGTGCTTTAGACCACTGAGCCATCTCACCAGCCCCCCAATGGAGGTTAAGAGTAAAATATTTATTGGGAAAGAAAGGTTCTGTCTCAGAGGGGACAGAAGGGGGACCCAAGCAGGTTGTTCAGGAAGCTGTTTCTTCCAGGTTATTTTTATAGGACAAAATCACACAGGGCTAAGGAACTCAGTTAGGTGGACAAGAGGTGGGACAAAGCTATGGTCAACCAATGGGATTATAAGCACCATTGCTCAGGGGAAATTGATTAAGTTCAGGACCAAATGGGGAAGCGAGTCACGTAGCAAGCAGGCATGAATATAGAATAGGATTTTATGGGGTAGCCATCCAGTAGTAGTCGGATTAACGATTCTTGGTCTCCCTCAGGGTGATGATCAATCTCGGATGCCAATCTTTAGGGAGGTCAGTATCTGTTTGATCTTTGGTCTTTAGGTCTGGCCCATGGCAGGAGCATCCATCCCCCCCATAGTTGCAAAATATCTAGACTTCTGTGTTATCTCTTTCAAGGGCCTGGCCCTGCCTGACTGCCTAAAAATATTTCTATCTAACTCTGCTGCCTACAACAAGAACTTAGAATAAGCTAGAATTAAGCAGATCAAGAGAGGAAAGGCCGCTGCGTGAGCAACGCGCCTGTCCATCCTGGACGCCACGCGGCTGCAGCTGTCCTGCAGCCAGCGCTTCACCCCAGGGCCGGGCCACCAAGAGGGTCGCTGGGCGGGCTTGGGTTTAACTGGGTTGATTTTGATTCTGCTGGGTTCCGGGGTCACATGAATAAAACGTTTAATGAGGGGAGAAAAAAAAAAAGAGAGAGAGGAAAGGCCAATATAGGAAGAGGGGCTGATGGCTGGCAGCAGGGAAACAGTGAATGAAGGCTTCATGATGTGAGCAGGGACCATGTCATGACAAAAATCTACCTATATAAAGGCAGGCCTGGTGGTGCACATCTGTAGTACCAGCATTTGGGAGGGTGAGGCAGGAGAATGTGAGTTTGAGGCCAGCCTGGTGGGCTACCTGTGAATTCAAGGTCACCCTGAACTACATAACAAGACCCTGTCTCCAAAAATCAACGGATCAGGGCCAGGGAGATAGCTCAGTGGCACAGCACCTGCCTGGCAAGCACAGGGTCCTAAATTTGATTCCCAGTTAAAAAAAAAAAAAAAATCAATCAATCAATATAAAAAATTATGGGAGGGCTGGGGAGATAGCTCAGTTGTTTAAGTGCCTGCCTGGCAAGTATGAGGTCCTGAGTTCAATCCCTGGTACCAATAAAATAAGTTTCAAGCGAATAAATAAATAATTATAGGAGACTATAAAAAATGAAGAGGTTGACACACTCCGATTTGGGGATGAGAATGAGACAAGACCTTGCTATAGTTTAGGCTGGGCTTGAAATCGGGGCAATAATCCTGCCTCAGCCTCCCCAGTGCTGGGATTACAGAAGTGTGCCACCATGCCTGGCTTTAAAAAAACAAAAACAAGGTCTCATAGTGCAGTTCAGGCTGACCTTGAACTCACTGTGTAATTTAAACTTTCAAGATCCTGCCTCAGCCTCCTAAGTGCTGGAATTCCAGGCGGGTGCCACCGATTTGCATGTTAAATCTCTCTGAGGTTGCTCAGGAAACAAAGGAAGGGAGTCAGACTGGGCCAAGGTCTCATTCCCAGGATGGTGAACGACAGGTACTTGAAAGCCTGGTCAGGACCTGAGACAGGATAAGAGCCGACTCTGGAGTGTGTAGTAAGCTGAGCAGGGACCGAACACTGGGAGACCTGGTCGGCCGCTGAGCACAGTCGGTTTTGGGAGCGGGGCTGGAGCGGCGCGGGGACCTGGGTCGCCCGGAGCCCGCCTCTCGGGACAGAGCTGGTCCAGGCGGGGCGGGGCCCGGGGGGCGGGGCCGGAGCGGCCACGCCGCCTTGGCTAGCGCATTCCTGGCTCTCCAGCCCCGCCGAGGAGCTCCCGGGCTGGGTCTCCGGACCCGGGCAGAGACGGGGTTCGTAGCCGGCCAGATCTGGGAACAAAACTGCGGAGGAGCCGGGTGAGTCCGTTCTCTGTCCCCGAGGAACGCCGCGCAGGCTCTGGGTGAGCCTGGGGGCGAACGGTGGCGTGGCTCTGGGGGTCAACCCCCGCCCAGCAAGGGGGATGTGGGCGTCCACTCAGCGGGGGTGCAAGGGTGGAGGGGGCGGTAAATCAGTAACCCGCAGTGCACACAGGGCCTTTTGTACCGCTCTGTCCAAAGAGCACGCTGGCCACGGAGCTGGTTACTTATTGCCCACCAAGGCGGGGGCGAGCCAGCTGTCTCTGCTGCTCCGCATGGGGACCCGCTGCCTCGCACCTTCTCGGGAGGGCGACCTGGTAAGGGAAGGGGAAAAGCGGGCTGGTCCTAGAGCCACTGACTAGATGTCTGCTCTGGGCTTAGACATGAGAACACCGGCGCGCATAGAAGTTAAGTCCCCTGCACCGGGTCTCCCAGCGTGGGAGCGCGGGAGGCTGGGGACCAGGAACTGTCAGGCGCCAGGGTCGTGCTCTGTAACCCACTCAGGACTCTGACTTTGTCAGGCCAGGCAGCCTGGGGATGGGAATAAAACCATCGGGCCTTCCCCCTCCACTCCTAGGCAGAGCTACGGGCTGAGCGAGAGCTACCCTCCCAGCTTAGCAGTGTGCTAGAGGATTTTTCAGAGAAGGGTCTAAGGGAACCTGGGGCTGGGCTGGGGTGAATCGTGGTATTGAAACCTAGTAGATGAAAGAGGAAAACGAGGAGCACAGAGGTATAGGCAAGAGAGCAAACAGGCCCAGCTTTGAAAGCTCTTGTGGGGGCTGAAGAGACGGTGTGACCATAGGAGGGATGGTAAGGGAGGCCTAGGATGCAGGGAAAGCTGTGGACCGGATCTTACTGGACACAGGTTGCCCTGTGGCCTTGTAAATGGGGAGGGGGAAAGTGACATGGCAGATTTTTTAAGCCCTGCTTGAAGGTGGAAACTGAGCAGCCCAAGGAGATTTGAAAACTCCGAACAACAGATAATCAAGACCTGCCCAGGGTAAGGGTAGGGGCAGGGGCCACAGGATAAACTAAAGACTTGAGGAGGCAGAATGGACTGGAAGTGTGGTGGCAGTAGCTGAAGAGGAGGTGTAATGGACTTTTTGGGCAGGGGTCCCTTCGGTAAAGTATGTAATGCATCTTTTAAGAATCTGGCTGAACTATCTGTTTATCAATAAAACTTTGAAAAATAAATAAATAAATAAATAAAATCTAGCTATAACAGGTAAAAAAAAAAAAAATCTGGCTGTCACTGGGTGTGGTGGTGCTCACCTGTGATCCCAGCACTCAGGAGACTAAGGCAGAGGATCAGCAGAAGTTCGAGGCCAGCCTGCACTACATAGCAAGAAACTGGCTTTTTTTTTTTTTTTTTAAAGCAAGACAAAAAAGAAAAAAGAAACATAATCATGCTCTGATTCCAAGACACTAGTCCCTCCTGGCTACTGCATGGCTCTGGGTAACAGTCAGTAGGACCCTAGAGCTATATGGGTCATTTTATTTCCCTCCTTAAGCTGAGACTCAGTTCTGACTGTTCCATGTGGAGTACAGAGACATTTGGAAGAGGGTACAAGTCCAGTCTGCGTAGTAAGACCCTGGTAGACCCTGTGCTAAATACATAAGAAAAAGATGGGTGGGTGTATATATAACACCTGACAGAGGTAATTCCAGACCTAGGATGGCTGGCCAAGGGCAGACACAGATTGACAGTCATGGGGAGAGTGGTAGGGAAAGTATTTCACCAACACTGTGTGCACCCAGATACTCTTTATCTTCAAAGCAGTCCTTTAAGGATAATAACCCAGTTGGGGTTATAGCTCAGCAGCACAGCTATCTGGCAAGCACAAGGACCTGGGTTAGATTCCTGTTTGGAAAAAGAAAAAGGATAGTAGTCTATATCTATAGCAGGACAGAGAAGTTGGGAAGAGTCAGGATTTGAACTGGGTAATCTGACACTTAGAATATACTTTTTTTGTTGTGGGTACCGGGAATTGAACTCGGGACCTTGTACTTGCTAGGCAAGCACTGTGCTACTGAACTATATCCCTGGCCCAGAGTCTGTATTCTTTTCTTTCTTTGCCTTTCCTGATGCAGGGTTTCATTATGCAGTTCAGCTTAGGCTTCAACTCACTTTTGTAGCCCAGGCTGGCCTTAGAGTCTAAACGATCATCTTGCCTCAGCCTCCTAAGTGCTAGGATTACAGATATGAACCACCATTCTGCAGAATCTACATTTTTTTAAATTAATTAATTAATTTATTTGTGTGTGGCCAGCTTAGCCCACCAGGAGGCAGGGCTGGCTGGCATGTGGTGCTGGGGGATTGAACCATAGTCCCTGTGTTTTGCTAAACTTGTTCTAAGTAGGTGCTTTAGACCACTGAGCCATCTCCCCAGCCCAGAATCTACATTCTTAACAAATTAAGACTGGAAGTGTAGCTCAATGGTAAACCACTTGCCTGGCATGCACAAGGTCCTAGGTTCCACCCCCACCATGACAGCAAAACAAAACAAAACTATGTTGATGCGCAACTATAATTCTAGCTATTCAGGAGGCAGAGGCAGGAGAATCACAAGTCTGATGCCAGCCTGGACAAATTAGAAAGAAACTGTTTCAAAGTAAAAATTTTAAATGGATTATGATGTAGCTCAGTGGCAAAATGCTTGCCTAATATTTGCCAGGCCCAGGGTTTAATCACCAGCATTAAAAAAAAGTAAAACGGGCTGGTGAGATGGCTCAGTGGTCTAAAGCACCTACTTAGAACAAGCTAAGCTAAACAAAAGCACAGGGACCGCGGTTCAATCCCCAGC